ATAGATTAGATATGTAACACAAAAATACATACTAATTTCAAAACCACAACATGTGTTTACTTTGAAGAAATTTATAATGGTAGATACAAATTAAATTCCTTTAACAAATAAAACAAACTAATATGAAGTATAAAAGTTAGGTTACTGCATACTTTATAATGAATTTTGATATCGTTCAATAATATTTTTAAAAAAAACAAATGATTTTTTTAAATTATAAAACCACCAATAGATTTGACTTTAATTTAATAGAATTTTTTATATACAAAAAATAACCCGGGGCATCGCCCGGGCATAAAACTAGTTACCCATATTAAAAAGAGTTTTAAGGTAGCTTAGACATTACATGAATTCAAATTTTTTTAAAAAAATGTTATATAACTCTTTCCATTTAAATTAATGGGCTTTAATTTTATGATTTGCAAGTCTTATTATTATGTAACCGTGCATGGCACGGGAAAAAACTAGTATATACCTACTTTAGTGACCAAAACCCTAAAATTCATTTCTTTCTTTCTCTGTCCACCCTTCACCGCCACATGGATCTTTGATATTTTTCTTTCATCTTTCACTTCTTACCTTCTTTAATTGGGTTTCTCACTCCTTAGATTTCCATCTAATTAAGATAAAAATTACTAATCTTTAACTCTTAGGCCCCGTTCTCTTCACCTTAATTTTGCTGAACTTAAATTATTTTTACTTAACGGAAATTAGTTTTGCTGAACTTAAATTAATTTTACTGAACTGAAATTATTTTTGCTGAACTGAAATTATTTTTACTGATTTTCTATTATAATTCTTCTCTAAGAAAACTGAATTTTACTGAACTGAAATTATTTTTACTGAACTGAAATTAATTTTACTGAACTGAACTTATTTTTACTGAACTGAAATTATTTTTACTTAATATTATTTTTTAAGGTGAAGAGAACAGGACCTTAGATTTCATCAACTTAAGGTAAAACTTTTTTTTTTCTATTGATATATCTTTTTAGTTTTCCTTAATTCCTTCCTTACTATTATTTAATTTTTTTTCTTTTTTCCTTCCAATTTTTCTGATTTTGTTTTGCAAGACATGCAAGTTGTGAAATTTTCATATTTACCAACAAATTCATGAAAGATGCATTTAACAAATCATCCTGATAATTTTTTTCGATAATTTTGAAGATTCAACTTCAATTTCATCTAAACTTGAACTTTGTGGATTTCCTGTTTAATACCACTGAACATTAACTATTACTCGTAACATATAAAATTGTAAAATTTAATTTTCAAATAAATGTATTAGGACAACAAATCTGGATATAATTGAAGTCTCTTGATTTTTTTTAAAATAAAAAATAAAATAATTAATAATTCAGGTCAAATCAGGTTATTTAGGTCAACCCGAACCCGAAAAAATCAGGTTAGGAATGAAAGTTCTGACCCGAAAAGTTAAACATGTCAGGGGTTATGACCCGAACCTGAAAGTGACCCAACTTGACCTGATTGCCACCCCTAACATCCAGACTAATACAGAATTATATTTTGGTTTTTAAATCATAATTTATTCACAAGATCGAAACATTTGGAGGACCAATAGAGGTATTAACCAGAAAAAAAATCAGATACGTCTTAAATAATAGAGGAAACTGACCCGACTCGTTAAAAAAAACCATCTGTTTTAAATTGCAGCCGATCTTATTTAACCCGATTAAATTCAAGTCCCAAAAAGTAATTGACCCGAACTTAATCCAGATCCAAATTTGACCCAACTTGAATTTAACTTGAAAAGAATTTGACCCGACTTGAACTCAAACCGAACCATTTTGCCTCGATTTGAACTCAAACCGATCCAAACTCAAACTGATCCAAAACTAACCTGATTCGATCTAATCTACCTGAGCTAGAGATGAATAATAAAAAATAAAAAATAAAATCAGGCCAAGCCGACCCGGCCCATGCATAAAAATATAAAATTAAATCTTGTGCCAAAATTTGTAAAATAGTGTCGGGCTTATTGGGCCAAAACAGGTTTTTCGGGCTTTTTTGGATCGGACTCGAGTTTTAAACTAAAAATGCATTTTTAGCCTTGTCCAAACCCGTACTTTATTCGAGCCAACCACTTCAGGTCATTTATGATCATGATAACTTGTTATTTGGTATGATTTTAGGGTACTTTTGAACCTTGTTTTCGTGATTATTCGACATCAGAGTTCATTATTTATCCTATTTTTATACAAATTTTGTACCATCCATGCTTCACGGGTTGTTTGTGTTTTTGATGTAATGTAGATATTTTTAGCACTATATATGGACGAGATCAAGCATGAGTGAACAAGGAGAAGGGAAATCTTGGTTGATAGAGCAATTAAGGAAGAAGGATGAATGCCTTAAAGAGAAATGAAAAGTTTTTGGAAGGATTTTTGCACTAAGGTTAACTTCAACTGACCATAACTTTTGTTCCACTCAACATTTTGAAGTGATTAAAATTGGAGATTAAATTTCATCTTAAGATCTTTCCAACGACTGGTCACATGCCTTATTCCGATGAGTAACGAAGAAGTTATGACTTTCCGAAAATAAGTTGTTTCGCCAGAAAAGGGTTGCATGTCCGTGCCAATAAGTGGCACGCCTGTGCAAGTCACTGCACGTCCGTGCCAAATGAAGCACGTCCGTGCAAGGTCAGGCAGTAGCTACTGGTCGTATTTTAACAGGTCTGCACGTCCGTGCAACCTTTGGTACGTTCGTGTCGACCTGTAGGCGGGTCATTTTCTCGTGTTCTCCGTCCTTTTACTTTGGGGTTATATAATACCCCTTTGGCTTCATTTGTAAAAAAAAAAGATCTTCTTACCGTAGTTTTAGCTTAGGTTAGGATTTTTAGAGAGAGAAACTCTTATTTTCTAGAGAGAGAAAGTGTGAAAAACTTGTTGAAAGCTTGGAATATGAAGAATTGAAGGAAGGAGACTTGAACATTTGATTATTTCTTGCATTATCAATGAGAATTTTTTACTCTCTCTCTTATTTTATTGCTTTAATTACTTATTTTTGTATTTTTTCTAGTTTTATTATTTGTTTATGTTAAATTAGTGTTTGGATTCATGTTCTTAGTAGTTTACTACTTTAGTTTTGCAATTTATAATGATGTGTGAGTAGTTCTTTTACTTGGGATGGTTGAAACCATTGATGAATTCACTAATACTTGTTTGCATGTGTTGATTTAGCTAATGTGGGATGTTAATTAGTTAAGTTTAATTGGTTTCATTGTTAGTTCTTGTAAGTGGCCATTGCTAGAACTATTTATCTAAGCTTTCTCAACGAAGGATCGAGAGATGAACTTGAGTTAGCTCCCTTATGGTTAATTGACTTGAAATGCCATGAGAATAGGAATTTCCAATGCAAGGGAATGTTTATGTCATCGTGATTATGCTTTAACACTTGCTTTATGCTTTGTAACCACGAGAGTAGGTTGTATTCATGATTCAAGTAATCCCTCTAGCTTGAGAGAGTAGTTGGGTGCCTTAGATGACTTCCCCTAATTTATCCCCAAATTGCTATGTTTTGTATGTTAAATTGTAGTTTGTGAATGACTTAATTGGTGGATACCTTCCCAAGATCCTTTTTATTATTGTTTGTAGTTTTTCTTTATAACTCAAAATTCAAAAAGATTTGACTTAGCTTATCACAAATCAATATTTGTTAATGCTCCCCTTAGTCCTTGTGGGATCGACCCTTGCTTGCCCTTTCTACCCATTAGAGAGACCAAGTTAGGTTTTTTTTATCTTTGGTAGGCTCGACGACGGCCTATCAGATCACCGGCCTCTCACCCGAAATGATATTAAAATGACCTAATTTTAACCCGATTTGATTTTAATCCGACATAATTTCAAACCAACCATAACTTTAACCCAACCTATTATTTGTTTATTTCAATCCAACCATAATTTTAAACTCAACTTAAGAACTCTAAGGACGTGTTCTTTTCAACTGATTAAAAAAATATAATAATATTGCCTCTGTTGAAAGTTCACTTAAATAACTTTGATGACGTTTTATTAGTTAATACAATAGAAATAAGTTAATTTGTGGGAATTTATTAGATTAACCTTATTATAAATTTTCCAAATATCAAACTTTATAATTTTCACTCATACGTAGCCGAAAATATGCATAGTCAAAGATGATCATTGGAGACCACGTAAATGTGAACCGAGTCAAACTTTCAGGAATATTACTAACTACTCCCTCCATTTATTTTAAAATGGGCATGGAGTTTTTAGAAGAGTAATACTTCCTCCGTTACGTATTATGTGCAACAAATCTTGTTACACGTTTATCAAGACAAAATTTGATAATGATGATTAACAATGTGAAGGGTGTGTAATTAAGGATAAGAGAGAAAAAGGGGGATAATTAATTATTTAAGAGCCACCACTCAACTGTCATCCTCTCCACCAACACCACCAGAACACCGCCAGTACGCCACCAATAACACCACCAGAACACCACCAGTACGCCACCAACACCAATCAACCACTAGTCACCCATACCTTAACCACTCTCTCACCACCATAACCACCCATCCCGTAACCACTCTTTCACCACCAACACCGTACCACCAGAACACCAACACTAACACCATCACCAGAAACCACCAAAAACCCACCTTGCTGCCACCATAAACCCCGAAATGCAGCAACTTGCAACCACCCAAGATCTACCAGACCCACAACACAATTGCAACAAAAACCAGTAAAAAAAACTAAGACATTATACTTGTGTTTTCATTTCAAAAATCAACAAAAACACTTATAATTTCGATTTTCGATTCTGCTTTGGTATTTTTTCCAGTGATTGTGTAAATTTGTCTCATATATTAGACATTGTGCTTGACTATTATAGTGAATTATAACTTTTTACTGAAATTCATTTGCAAATATTGAAGATTTTGATGAGAGAAAAAATGGATAAATAAAATGAAAAGAATGAAGAGAGAGAATTTGAATGGTAGTTCATTTTTTTTTTTTTAATAATATAGTGTGTGGAATATAGATGTTTACTGTAGCAATTTGTAGGTGGATATTAGAAGTGAGGAGTTAGTGGGAAGAAGGGTAAAACGGTACTGTTTTGCATGGGGGTGCAGGTAGGAGACCCTACACTAGGGTCTAGTGCTCACTGCAGTAGAAGACTAGAAGAGACAGAAGAAACAAAAAAAAATAAAATAAAAATGAAGTTGATGAAACTGATCGTTGATGAGTATGATGACTCACCACTTAGTTAAAAATCTGAAAATGCCAACACTTCATCATCATCCAACTTTCAATCAAACCAACAAAAATTATGTAAGTAATTATCCACTTTAAATTCAAACTAATTTAACCCCCTCCAAAAATCAAATCAAATCAAATTCAAAACTCCATTACAATTCCAACATTTTTACGCAAGCTTAAACAATAATGGCAGCTCTCACTTTCATCCTCCGCCGTGAACTCCACCACCAAAACCGCCATATCTTCGCGCCATTCTCTCTCTTCCGGCAGTTTTCGTCGTCGGAAAACTCCGGCGCCGGGAAGAATCCGATGATCGAGAAGATTTTGGTGGCAAATAGGGGAGAAATCGCTTGTAGAATAATGCGAACTGCGAAGAAATTAGGGGTTCGGACAGTTGCAGTTTATAGTGATGCTGATCGAAATAGTCGGCATGTTAAATTTGCTGATGAAGCTGTTCGTATTGGTCTTCCGCCTGCAAAATTGAGTTATTTGCAGTTTAATTCGATTATTGATGCTGCTAGGTTGACTGGTGCTCAGGTTAGTTTCTAATTTTGCTGATTTTTTTTGAAGGTTTTTGTGTGATTTTGTTTGTCTAATTGATTTTTTGGTTTATGGTTGGATGATGTGTGCCAATTGATTCACGAATTACTATGCTTAGAATTGTTATGTGATTAAACATGTGTTAATAAGAACAATTGTCGCGTGATTTTGTCTTGAATTCCGAAATTATATGGAAGTTAATGCTGGGGAGAGTACTAGCTTAGGAATTGTATTTCATGAGTTCATGCTTATGCTTAGCTCCATTATTTTTGTGAGATTATATAGTTGAACTTGTGAGATTATATAGTTAAACATGTGAGATTATCTTAGGAATTATGCTGAGCAACTTGGAGAAGTTCAAAGTTGAACATGGCTTATTCTTTTCGGGGACGGAGGGAGTAGACTATTATGATCTTCTATGTTGCTGATTTCACCATCTTAAGTCAGTTCAGCTTAATTTCATTTCAGTCCAATCAGTTCAGCTCTAATCAGTTCAGTTTCTAATTTCCTTCTTTCATAAACAATTCATTTCAGCTCTGTTAAGTTCAACTCACCTCAATTCAGCTCCAATCAGTAAGAGAGAGCAAAAGCCCAGCACTGAATGAGACTGGGTTTTAGAGCTTGCATTTGATGCGCCAAGTGATAATGTAGAAAGTTATCATTAACAGGTGTTATGTACAATGACTCAAAAGTATAAATGTATAAGGTTATGATGCATAATACATGAGAGTGAGGGATAGCTCAAGTGGTTAGAGCTTCCCTCCCGGTTTCAGGAGATCCTGGAATCGATTCTCACCCCCGCCCTTGTGGCTCTCTAAACACCAAAAAAATACCTGAAATTATATTTGAGTTAAGCTCTTAAGGGTGTTATGCATTTGGAAATACCTGGAAATTTTTGTATGATTATGGTTGAAATTATATTTGATGAGCCTTTTGAAATATAATAAAGAGAGTCCACCCTGCAGTGGCTAATATGAGTAATTTTTCTGATGAGATATCTGTATTGTACAACGTGTATTGAATTGGAGAAGTGGCATTACTGATGTAGTGCTGAAGGCAGCGTACTCATATAAGATCTGATTAGCAAAAATAGCAATTGCTGGTAGCACATTTGTATATATTACCTGATAATTGGCTCTGCTTAACATGTGGCATGCAGGCGATCCACCCTGGTTATGGATTTTTGTCTGAAAATGCCGAGTTTGCTCAGAAGTGCGAAGACGAGGGCCTTTCATTTATAGGACCCCCTGCTTCTGCAATACGAGATATGGGCGACAAAAGGTGAAACAAGGAATGCCTTATGGTTTTTTTTTTTATTTCAATTTGACTTTATGTGTGGATTTGAAGTGGTTCACATATCTTGTAATTGTTTGGCCCTGATGAGGTTCTCAAACTTGCCAATGTGTGCCATTTTTCTGTGGCTTGCTCTACTTTGAAGAATGTAAGGGTATCTGATATATTAACCTTTCGTTTGATTCATAGTGCTTCAAAGAGGATAATGGGTGGAGCAGGTGTTCCTCTGGTGCCTGGATATCATGGTAATGATCAAGATATTGACCTAATGAAATCAGAAGCTGAAAAAATTGGCTATCCTATTCTAATTAAGCCAACACATGGAGGTGGAGGAAAGGTGTGCCATGCCTGCCTTCTCTTTGTGTTTACTATTTTCTTAATCGAGTCATCATTTATTATGCTTGACTAGTTTTGATAGTGTTGCAATGGTATTCTATTATGCTTGACTAGTTTTGATAGTGTTGCAATGGTATTCTAATTTGGCTGACTCTTGGAAATTAATAATAGATACCTTTACGAATTTGTATCTTAGATTTTCCAAATTGGAACCACTTAACCACATTAAACTTAAACAAATGGCTGGATAATTTCTGGGCTTGGGAAAGATTATCTGTACAAGTACATATTAGTTAATGTACCATAACCAAATGTGGTTAGAGACTACATTTTGAATCAAAAAGATTTTGTACTATTTCTATAATATTGTTCATCTATGTTTACCTTATTGAACCAGCTACATATTCCAATTTTTTTTTTTTTATACCGACAACGATTTCCTTTTCCATTGGTTCAGACCTAGTTTTGGGCAAAGACAGTTTGTTAGTTTGATTTAGCACTTCTTGAGTTCTTGGTGATATACTGGTTACATTTCATCATTTTTCTGAAAAGAAAAGCAATACAGTGAAGCAATAACTTCAATGACGTTTTTGAAAATGAACCCACTCCAATACGTACTGCTAAAAAAAAATCCTCTTTTAGTTTATTCTCTTGAATAAGGATGCCTTACAAATTTCTATATGCCTTTTCTGCTCTTTTCTCTCCCTAGGGCATGAGGATTGTGCAAAACCCAAATGAATTTGTTGAAGCATTCTTAGGTGCAAGAAGGGAGGCAGCTGCTTCTTTTGGAGTGGACACAATCTTGCTTGAGAAATACATCACCAGGCCTAGGCATATAGAAGTGCAGGTCTTCCTCTTCTCTCTCTTGTAAATAACTGTGGCTTTCTGTTGAAATCGAAAATATTACTTTTTTCTTATGCTGTGTTATTGTTGTAGTGACATCAGACAGAAAATTTGCATGCTTCAAACTCTGTGAAGCAAAAGATGGGCTTTGTTTTTACCTTTTTAGTTCGGCCAAACTTGTTAAGTAGTTTCTCTTATTTTATTTCATCTATCTGCTTTGTAGATTTTTGGAGACAAACAAGGCAATGTTATATTTCTATACGAGAGGGATTGTAGTGTACAGAGAAGACACCAGAAAATAATTGAAGAAGCCCCAGCTGTAATGCCTCTCTATATTTTGTTCAACTTTAAGATTGTGGATTGGAAGAGGTTTTAACTAAAGTTCCATCGATGCAGCCCAACGTTAGTAATGAATTTCGCTCTCAAGTGGGTCAAGCTGCTGTTTCTGCAGCCAAGGTATGCTGCAGGATTTTCTTGAGCACTGGCTTGATTGTATTGTTTGTATATCTTGTGTTCGCTTATCAATGCATCATTATCCACATCCCAACATTGTTTCCATTAACCTTTTTTTTTTCTTCTCTCCTTTTGCTTGGAACTTAACCGTTTCTCACACGGCTGTTCTTTGGTTTTGATTAATTGGGACTGGACTGCCAGTTCTAGATTTTTAGAAGCTTTCTGTTTACACTCAGCATATTGCTCTAAAGCCTGAAGCATAATTTTTCATTTAGGTTCTCTAATTTCTTCAACTTTTGCTTAATCTTTCAACTTATTGCTTTGCTGAATTAGCATGTTTTGGGGTGAAAGGCAGTTGGCTATTACAATGCTGGAACTGTTGAATTCATTGTGGATACTGTCTCAGGTCAATTTTACTTCATGGAGATGAACACACGGTTGCAGGTGCTACTATTTCTTATATTTGTTGGTGTATATCTACAGCTCTACATTCTTGTGAAGTGGGACTTGTAACTGGTGTCATGCACATAATTTTGCAGGTTGAGCACCCTGTGACAGAGATGGTTGTTGTCCAAGATCTCGTAGAATGGCAGATTCGGGTTGCTAATGGCGAGTCTCTTCCTGTTACGCAGTCAGAGGTGCCATTATTAGGTGAAAATTTCACTTTAAACAAAACCCTTAATTGGAAGAATAAAAGTATCTTGCTGAATTTTTGAGCTAAATGTAGATGCTGCTATTGTGCCCTTTAGATTGCCTTACTGCTGTTGATGCTCATTTTCTAGAACTATTAATTTGTTGGAAAAAGTTAAGTATATTAATGGTGAAATCAGGATGTTCTAATACTGATGGTATAGACACTTGTAATTGCTCCGAACAAATGTACACTTAAATTGCAATTATGGTTGTTTAATGGCCGGTGTTACAATAGGTAGAAATTGAGTTGATATATATCGATGGTATACAAGAATATCTGTTGACCAGTAGGATGCCTTATAGATTTTGTCATTGGTTGTGTTTGAGGCTTGAAAAATTGCTTGGTCTTTAATTATTTGCTACAGGTTTTATTTTTGAGTTGTATAAATTAATGGCGGTTGATAAGGCTGCTGCTTCAAAACAATGACTAAATATCCTTTTTAGTTACCACTATTGGTTTTGATCGATAACAGTAATAAACATGAGTTGACAATTGTAAATCAAGGCAATGTCTATCAAATTGACAGTCATGCTATCTGGGTTTGACAAAAAAAATAAGTGTGGGTTATTAAAGTATTTGTAATTTCTCAAGCATGGTCCCACACCAGATGTTTGTTCTGTAGATCTTTCTGCTTATTTGTAGTTTAAGTAGTTTGTGAAATTAAAATACTTCTATTTGGTGGCAGGTCATGCATTTGAAGCCCGTATATATGCCGAAAATGTTCCAAAAGGGTTCCTCCCTGCTACTGGGGTTCTTCAATACTATCGACCTGTTCCAGAATCAGAAACAGGTCTTGGCACCTTTTATTAGTTTTTATAAGTACAATTATAACCGTGCACTTTTAATAATCTTTACCTCCACTGCCCCACAATTTAGTTGTTTACAGATGGCTTTGTTAGATGAGTTTATTTGGTTGTATCCTCATCTCTTGTTAATTGTCCCACCAAGCTCATTCAGTTTCCCCTTCTATTGGAATGATCAATTTCAATATTGGAGGAATGCTGTGGTTTTTATATTTCGTATTAATGATGTAGATGTGATGTGTCTAATTTTGCATGTTTTTATGATTTGTTAGAGTGTTTCTCCTTCACATATCACATTTGTTACTCCACCTTCCATTTTTGGTGCTCTATAACATACTTCCTTGTCAAATAATCAAGTTATTTTCTTTGAACAGTTCGTGTTGAGACAGGAGTTGAACAAGGAGACGCTGTTAGTGTGCATTACGATCCCATGATTGCAAAGCTTGTTGTTTGGGGAGAAAACCGTGCTAATGCATTAGTTAAGCTGAAGGATTGCCTATCAAAATTTCAGGCATGGATCTAGAACTTCCTTTTCACATGCTTTAAATTGTAGTATCTCCCAGGGAGGTAATTTCTTTTGAGGATGTCTGCAATGAATTAAAAATGATAGTAGAATTAGCATTACTGGTGCACATATTTTTAATCCAACCTTTTCCCTTCTTCATTTGAAAGCAAGGAAGGTTTGTTAGGGACCATAAGGGGGGCGGGGGGGGGGACGCTTGTTATAAGGACTGACTCGCTGAATTTTCCATGAAAGGTTTACCCGAATGATCAAAGTCATTTAGTCACTAAGTCAGATGTCGTCTCTTTTTTAATAGTATTTTATTTTATTTTAAATAGGAGAGATCTCACTTTCCTATATGTTGCAACCTTGGGTGGCCTATTGGGTTCTCGTAGTTTTGGCTTTTTGCTGTGAAGTTCTCACTTTGGAGGTGTGCTTAACAAGTTAACAGTAAAGTTGGTGTACTTTTTGCCTGAATTTGACTGTCAATGTATGTTGGAACTCATTTCGGTTCCTTTCAAGCTTCAAATTAACATGCAGTCTTGCCTTTATACCTCTCTCAGTGAGGATCAATAATGCTAATCTCAGTAGTTTATCCTCTTAAACTGTAATTAAATTAGAATTATGAATTTTTACTATTTAATGTTATCTTGTAGCCTTGTTGCATCTGTTTTTGCATTCTGTGCTTGGTTAATAATTTAACATCCAGTTATTGTTGATACAGGTTGCTGGTTTGCCAACTAACATAAATTTTCTTCTTAAATTGGCCAACCACCGGGCTTTTGAGGATGGGCAAGTTGAAACTCATTTTATCGAGCACCACAGTGATGAACTATTTGCTGATTCAAGTAATATGGAGCTGGCAGAGGAAGCATGCAAATCTGCTACACATAGTGCAATGCTTGCTGCTGCATGTCTTTGTAAAACGGAAATTAACACGGGAAAGGGAAATTGTCTGGGTAAACAAATAGCTGATCTATTTTATAATTGTCCTAGCAAGGCCATTGAAGCACTGAATAATACTGACAATTTTGCAGGGGAAAGAAGCCCTCTTTCAATCTGGTATTCTGACCCTCCATTTAGGGTCAACTATTGTGCCAGGCGTGATATAGAATTTGAATGGGAAAATGACTATGGTACTATTGGTTCAGTGCCCTTGAAATTGGCTCTTACATATCAGCAAGATGGGAGCTATCTTGTTGAGGTACCTATCCTTATAACTAAGGCTCATCTTTTCAAGCATTCCGTGTAATTTTCTTAGTTTTTTGCTAAGCTTAGTCTGTTATTTCTTTGTTTGCCGTAACTCAAAGTAAGTTTAATTTCACAGGCTGGAGATTGTGGTTCCCCTGGTATCGAAGTTAAGGTTGTGCAGCTAGGTGATCAAGATTTTAGGGTTGAAGCACAAGGATTAAGTGTGCTCTTAACTTTAGCTGTCTATACAAAGGTGTGTATCTTTGCATAATGCGATGTACTTCCTGAGATATATGTCACTACAAAAATAGGGAACCGAATTTTCCGCTGCTGCATTCAAGTCTTTCTGAAAGCATTGACTTTCCCACCTGCTTACTCTTTACTGACATGTGATTTATGAAACCTGTGATACATGCTTGAGTTACCCTGAGATTGAGAAGGTTGTGAAATAAATAGCTTACCAGTTATACTTCTTACCATCTTGGATGTTAACAAACTTTATGTTAGATATAAGGCATGCTGTAATTCTGGGATTGTTTTAAAATGTTGTTCCTGCTTGGTCTGCTTGACTTGCAAGAACTTTCAATGCTCCTTTAAACATTTAGAGCATATATTATTTTTTTTTTGGCTAAATTCTCCCATATACTTCAATACTTGTGTGATAATTAAGAGATACTGAATGTGAAAGTGGAACCGTATATCTTAGCAAACAGAAATTACCCCATGCAACCTAACACCCTTGGATAGTGATTTCCACTCCAAATTTTGTCATGATCACTATATAGCCTGTATATGTAATGCATGCCTTTCATTTTTGTTGAGTCCTTAATTGTCCAAATTATTGTTTTCGACTAGGTACTGTAGTCTTTATCAATATTTATGGTGTATTTGGCAGGATAATATCAAGCACATATACATTTGGAATGGCCTACAATATCACCACTTTCAGCAAAAAATTGGTCTGGAATTGTCTGGAGAGGATGAAACTGAACAAAGGCCTGCAAGAGGAGCCGAGATGGCATCTCATTCCCCAGGTTCTGTATCCGCGCCAATGGCTGGTTTGGTGGTCAAGGTTCTCGCAAAGAATGAAGAGAAAGTAGAGGCAGGGCAACCAGTATTAGTTATGGAAGCTATGAAAATGGAGGTTTGTGCCACATACAATTTTTTGTATAACTTTGATCTGTTCCAAGTCTTAGATTCTAGTCTTAAAATGCTGTACTTCCTGTTCCAGCATGTTGTAAAGGCTCCTTCCTCTGGTTTTATTCACGGGCTTCAAGTAGCTCCTGGGCAGCAAGTTTCAGATGGTAGCATTCTCTTCATTGTGAAGGTGTGTGTCATCTTCCTGCTGATCATGCTTTCGTATATAAAAGTTAAACGATTTACAGATATGATTGCATAAAGTAATTGTTATTACGCTGTTGAGACATGGATTTTGAATATCTATGTATTAGATACTGATTAGAACTTCCTTCACATGTACAGGAAAAATAAGAGGAAAAATAAGAAGGTTTTGAGCAGCGCAATTCTTTCGCCAGGGAACAGTGTAGATCTAATATGTAAATGATCTCTTATTCATATGTAAGCTCTGTTAAAAGAATACCACAAAGGCAGAAACCTAGCTAGTCTTCTTCACGATGTAACAAAATTAGGCTGCAGTGCTGTACAGACTACACAAATAAACCGGAAATTCCTACTTGTACATTACATCTATTTGCCTGATCTTGGACGCTCAGGCAGCAATTCCTTCTGAAGTTTGCAATGAATTTCCATTTACTTACAGATCTTCCAACGGTGAGCATATAGCAATAACAAAAAGGAAGAGGATGTACTATACGTCTAACATCTTGCAAATCTTGGAAACTAAAATGATACATGGAATTTTTTATTTTCCAAACTAGTATAAAGAATCATTTGAAGTTTGCAAGTAAATACAAGTAATAAAGGTCTAAATAAGCTAAAAACTACTTTCTTGGTACTCCGTATGATTGTAAAACCAAAGTCAATTGATGAAAACGTATACAAAGCGTAATGAAAGAACTCAATATCAATAGTCTTTAGAGCATCTATCATAAAGGTAAGTCATATACATAGGAATGACAACGGATCATATTCGGGTTGGGAGCTTCACCACATCCACCCACTCGCTCCTCCCAATCCACCCATCTCCCATATACGTAGGAATGGCAACAGATCATATTCGGGTTGGGAGCTTCACCACATCCACCCACTTGCTCCTCCCGACCCTCCCAATCCACCCATCTCCCGCATCCGAACCATTCATCATCTACGGGTGAAACAGGTGGATCAAATGCTTAGCGGATGATGATTATAAAATGTATACAAAGCGTAATGAAAGGAGTCAAGATTGTCAGGCTGTATGTGGGCTTTAGAACGCAGAAGCCCAAGCCCATAAAACGATAAACAATGAAGACCAATTAGTTCGCGCCATTCTTCGACATTTATAACCACTTTCCCCATCCCCTTTTTCTCTTCAGTCCATTTTCTCTCTCTTAAACTCGAGTGTTTTGACACTCTCTCTTTCTCTCTGGTTCTTCGTAAGAGCGCAACAATGGCGGACGGCCATCTCTTCAACAACATCTCTCTCGGTGGTCGTGGCGGCACCGTTAGTCTCTCTTTCTCTCTCCTCATTTTCTGCATCTTTTCTCATTTTTCTTTGTTCATGTGTTTCTTTCATTTTTCCGCCTAACCCTAATTTTTCATGCTAAACGCTCGATAATTCTACGGTATCTTTCTTAGGGTTTGGTTGTACTGTGTATTGATCTTTGTTTATTTACATGAAATTAGTTTTGAGTGCGTGGAGAGATTTTTATAGCTTATTGATTAATTAATGTTTTTCTAGGTTTTACAGGTTTTGTTTGCATGAAATTAGGGTTTGATGATTGAATTTTTAAATATTGCGATGAATTGTACAAATTTCGGCGTTGGATGTTTTTGCCTTTTAATTTTAAACCCTAGTTATTGAACCCTAATTTCACGCTACCTAGCTTGATTGAATTTTGATTTGCTGTTCGATTGAAAATTTTGATTGCCTTTGGTACTTCTAATCTTATTCAGTAGAACTTACTTGAATGTTGAAGAAGGTTGTGTCGAGGGGATGGAGAAGATGGATAAGACCAGAATATGTTGACGCAGCGATTGAATGCTATAAAAGATATTGAATAATAGAGGACTTGTTAGATAGAGAAGAAAAGGAGAACATGGGAATTAAAATTCTTTCTTCATTTCAAATGAACTGTGTTCAAGCATTTAATTGTGCTATATTTTGTGCTTTATTACTTAGATTGAGAAGCTGTTATTATCATATTGGTATTCGGGATGGACAAGTAAATTTGTATTAGCTTTATAATAAATTGACACTTTATGATAAATCATGAATACGTGAGTTTAGTTGAGTAAATTACTGATATGGAATGTGCATATGTGTGTGTGTGCACGAGCGCGTTTGTTATTACAGTTTGTTGGAAAGCAACATGGGATCCACGAAGATGGTTCAGTATCATCTGGTATTTATTACAAATGTCTCTAATACTTTGGTTAGATGTTTTAGTATTTACCTAGTCCAAATGTTCAACACTAGTGGCTATTCCCCGCCTCCCCCCCCCCAACCCCGGGCACTATTTCTATCTCCTATCGCTTTGTTTGTGCTCACATAATGTAGGATATTTTTAGGTAATTATTGATAAATATGTCTGTATGAAGTCTTTCATTTGTAATCAGTTAATGTTTATCTTTTTTCTGTCTCCTGTGTGGGCTTGCAGAAGCCAGGGCAGATAAGAGTTCATTCAGGTGGGATCCTGTGGAAAAAGCAGGGAGGTGGTAAAGCTGTAGAAGTTGATAAGAGTAATATCTCTGGGCTATTCTGGATGAAGGTGCCAAGGTCAAATCAACTTGGAGTTCGAAGCAAAGATGGGTTGTACTATAAGTTTATAGGTTTCCGGGATCAGGTATGTTATTCTCTTCCAACGAACATTTTTATATAATGTTTATACTTCTGATAATATCACTTTGATTTGTCTTAATACTATACTATCTTATTTATTTGCTTACGTAAGTCCTACCAAATACGGGGTTTCTGAGTTTTGACCTCCATTAAATATGTTAATATGAAATAACTCGAAGAGTATGGAAATATCTTTAAGGAATCAACTAAATGAATCTTATTGGATTCGAAGGTCCCCCCCCCCTCTTGTGAATTTGGTTTAGATCTTTTGACATCCTTATATACAACCATTTACTGCAATTATTTTGGATGTCTTTAAAGTTATGTGCTATGTAATTTGTACTACCTACAATGTGTGCGTAATTTATTTGCACTTAAAACCAGTTTAGTGGGTTTGGGGAAAGAGGTGAAATTTGACAATACTGCCTATGCGATTAGAAAAGGGAGTGTGCTCAACAAATTTACTATATAGATTTGTCTCCTCCTTAAATAGCAAATAATGAAGTAATTTCACCGGAGAAAAAAAAAACCCCTTCCCATTGAGGGAAATGATGCATGTATTATGAAATATCCCAGTATGGAATGTGTCGCATGTATTAAGAAATAAAGATATTATATAGAACAGACTTGTGCTTGTAATATCTATATTGGATGTCCTTTTGTGTACTTATATAAGGTAGTATACAATGACAATCTTAGCATCAACTTCTGATGCCTCTGTTGAAGTTTTTGCCATGGGCAGCATAGTCCATGGCATTCATTTTCGGATCAGAAGGAAGGGCCCGTAAGTGGAACATATGCTTTTTGCGTCCCTTTGCTTTTGTCTTTCTTTTGACATAGGGGTTAGCGGTGTTTAGTCTTATCCTTAAGTGAGAGGCTTTTTTGATTCATCCTCCATAATAGATCCAACTGCTTGCCAAATTATGTCAAATAAGTAAGCCAACAGTTGGTTGATCCATTTTAATATAAATTTATTATTATATCATCTAAAATTCTAAATTAGTAGTTACTTTTTAGATTATATTATCTGAGATAAAAATGCGAGTTGAAAGTTTGGTTTATTTGTAAATATAGATTTTGTTAATATATTGTTTTTTTTGTCATCGCCTCACATAAAATTGTCAGCTGAACATATTTGGATACATGGTCTTATGAGCCTGAGAAGGCTGCTTATGGTTGTTAGCCTACCGTCCTTATGTGGATATCGATATCCATCAAGCAACCACTGTTATTTAATCAAGTTTGAGATGAATAAATATATCAATGGTGACACAATCATGTTGAAGGACTCTTCCACCCAAATTTGTATTGAATATACCAATGTCAATCATATAAACTAACGTGTATTTGGTGTCATACCTTTGAGCTACTTAACTTTTGGTGTCCCACGATTATCTCCCACCCTTGAGCTTCCCCAAAACTTTAGTGTCTTTCACTAGAGACGTCCTCATGCACACCTGTGCTGTATCTTTAGTTCTCAATCTCAATCTCCCGCATACCCTAACCTATAACATATAATCCATATTATAGGCTAACAATCACCTAATTCAACTAGAACTATGATTTCCTTAATACTACCAAACTCCTAATAATATCTTACAACAATGATAACATTCCTAATTATTATCCTAATAATAGAAGAAACATAGCAAACTAACAAGATCCAAAGTGCAATGCTAACCCAACTTTATTTGTCCATCAAGATAAAAACACATCTAACAAAGTTCATGATGTGTTGCTGCTTAAACCAATTATACGTGACTTCAGCCTGCACATATGCTACTCTATAGCAAAGCCTTCTCTAGTTCTCTACTCCGTAATCTTGGCTCGGTGATTGTGGTCCAGTTACTATGTTGGCCGTTGGGACTTGTTGAACTTGCAATTCTAACAATGGTTGATTTGTCACTGATTATTTTATTCATGTACTTGGCAAACCTTGTGGATATTATTATATAACAATGGTTAGACCTATCTGATTTTATAATCCAAACATTAATCCAGTGCAGAGTTTGTTAGACCTTTAATCTCTTCCAGCAATCTTGTGGATGTAATTATTTAATGTGTTTCAAGTGCATCTACATCTCTGGCTGTAATTGTTTATGCTATGTTTTGCATGAAAATTTGGTGTTAGAGTTTATTACCTTGCCTGTGGCTCCTTTGTTGCACTTGGTAATATTGGCCTCATTTCTGGATGTTGCTCAGTCTGCTGTTTGATGTTTTTGCAAAAATTTAAAAGCCTGATGCATGTTTAATCATCAAGGAGAATACTTCATGACAGCTGATGAATTTTTTTGTTTAGGATGTTGCCACTCTGACTACTTTCTTCCGAAACAGCTGTGGAATTACCCCTGAAGAGAAGCAAGTATCTGTCAGTGGGCATAACTGGGGAGAAGTTGACTTGAATGGTAACATGATTTTCTTTATCCTTTTACTTATTATCCCTTTCCTGGTTCTGTATTTATTATCTTAAGCTGTATAGCCTTTCATATGTCCTCAAGGGGTCCCAGCTTGAATAGATCCAGATTTACAGTTGCATTGAAGTTACTAAAACACCGAGTCACAATTGTTTTTTATATAGTGTTTTTATAGTTTGGAATTTATATGATAAATATTGGGTGGATGCATAATTGCATATATTGGTGATATTTGATATTGTTAAGTGCCGCATGACTTATGACTGGTTATTTAAGGTCGGGCTTTGGGTTGACTGGGTTAAAATCTAATGGAATCAAAGGGGACAAACAACAAAAGGCATGAGATTGAATATTTGAGGCGACTAATTAGTGATTAAATAGCTGACAAAATCTAGGGAATTACTTACTTGGAATTACTCCCTTCAAAACAGAGGAAATCCCTTACCGTCAACAGATTTTACTTCATGAGAACTGCAAGTTCATGAATAGATCACTTATCCTATAGAGATGACCTATTAAAGTCGTGTTTTATTTAATGTGCTCTCTGCCCTATATTGTTTTTCGGTTTTTCCAATTGTGAGTACAAAATTATGAAATTTGGAACATTTCATTTGCAAATATTATTTTACATTTGTATTTGTACATTTATTGGAAAGTATCAAAGTACACAATTCAATGTTGAGGAGAGATAAAACTAAAAATAATTTTGTTGTAGTCACCTCATCCTTGATTTTATAAATAATAAAAAAAATATAAAAAATAAAAAAAAATTCTCTTGCAAATTTAATTCAATTTGGGCACAATTTTTTTTTTTTTTTTTTTATAAATGTGGACAAATGTCTCAATAAATAAATTTGAGGTCATTTAGGAAGAAGTGATGCTTTTGAAAAGGAAAAAAAAAAAAAGAAAGAAAGAAAACAAGAGTTTCTTAGGTCACCATAAGAAAATAGGAAATCTAATATGGGATGAAGGGAAGTAGCCATTTACAGGTAGCTTAATTGGCTATAGCATTCTAAGCAGCCATTTGCTTCATCACTCTATACTTAAAGCAACATATTCCCAAGTTAATTTATGGGGATTTTTGTATAAAATTTTGCCTGCCTGCTTATAAGCAAAAGCTCATTTTAGTTTTTAGCTTATAGAGGCTGTCATTAATTTTGATCAAATCTTGACCTTGCTGTTATTGGTGCTTTTTAGTTTTTACTTATCATATATGTCATGCCGCTTTATTTACTCCTTTTCTTCTTGATCTGTCTGACACTCTGAACTGAAATTTATCTGATGGTAAACTTATGAATTTCATATGCTTTTCTCAGGGAATATGCTGACTTTTCTCGATGGCTCAAAACAAGCCTTTGAGCTATCTTTAGCTGATATATCTCAAACTCAGATGCAAGGGAAAACTGATGTTCTATTGGAGTTCCATCTTGATGATACATCTGGTGCCAATGAGGTTGTTCTTTTATCATGGTTTAGAAATTCCTCAATGTATTAATTTGTAGATCCGTGCATTTGGTAATGTTGGTGGCTTGGTTGAGTCAACATTATTTAGCTTCCTTTTCCTGTATCTTACAGAAAGATTCTCTGATGGAGATAAGTTTCCACATACCAAATTCGAACACCCAGTTTGTTGGTGATGAAAATCGTCCTTCAGCCCAAGTGAGCTTCTTTCTGACTCTCAGAATCTTGCTGACCAACAATTTGTTATCTGAAGATTTATATCTTATTGTTTGGCTGATTTTCCCCTTAGGTGTTTCATGATAAGATCATGTCTATGGCTGATGTTGATGCAGAAGAGGCTGTTGTCACATTCGATGGTATTGCTATTCTTACTCCAAGGTTTGTGCAACCCAGTCTACTTTTTCTCTCTAGAGAATATGCCAAGTGTTGGATTGTTTGTCTTTTTATTATCCTTTAAGATGAACATGAATTGCTACTGACTGTTTTACTCTCTATTAATCTAGGGGTCGGTATAGCGTTGAACTGCATCTTACATTCTTACGTCTTCAAGGACAAGCAAACGATTTTAAAATCCAGTATAGCAGTGTTGTTAGACTTTTCTGTCTTCCTAAGGTTCATTACTTTTAAAACTTCTGTTATCTTTTCTGATTGGAAATTATATGCATTTTTTTCTATTGTATTATTCATTCATCTTCTGTTATGTTGTTGCAGTCAAACCAACCGCATACGTTTGTTGTTATCACTCTTGATCCTCCAATTCGTAAAGGGCAAACGTTGTACCCTCATATTGTGATGCAGGTATTTGAGGTTCTATTTTCTGGACAATTTCAGGTCTTTCTTTAATTGATATATGCTCTATTTGCTTCTACCTTTTTTCAGTTTGAAACCGACTATGTTGTTGAAAGTACTCTTTCCATAAATGAAGATCTCTTGAATACCAAATACAAGGATAAGTTGGAACCTTCATACAAGGTAATGCTTAGAGATTTACTTAATGAATATAAATTTTGAATTATATTTGTCACTCCCATTTGTGCATTCCTTTTGATTTTCATTCAGTGAAGTAGAATTTGTTGTTGGTTTCCCATAACTCAGGGTCTCATTCATGATGTGTTTACAAACATATTGCGTGCCTTATCTAGCGCCAAAGTCACTAGGCCTGGAAAATTCCGCAGCTGCCAAGATGGCTATGCTGTCAAATCATCACTTAAAGCTGAAGACGGAATTCTATACCCACTTGAAAAGAGCTTCTTCTTCTTACCCAAGCCTCCAACCCTTATTCTTCATGAGGAGGTGATTTCTGTATATGTGTATAACATTTTATGTAGCATCATGTGTATAATTTACTGGCTATCTGTTTTCTAACAAACATTGATTCCTTATATACCAGATCGATTATATGGAGTTCCAAAGGCATGTTGTTGCCGGATCCAACATGCATTATTTTGATCTCCTTGTAAAACTGAAGACAGATCAGGAGCATCTCTTTCGGAATATCCAGAGGAGTGAATACCAAAACTTGTTTGATTTCATCAGGTTTTAACAAGCTTCCAAATTCCAACATTTGATTTGAAACTTTAGTAACACCTGGTTTTAATTTGACACGTTTATATGGTTACTTGCAGCAACAAGGGCTTGAAAATCATGAACGTGGGAGACGGTCCTAATGCACCTTCACTCTCCATTGCACCTCTTAGCAGTGATGATGAAGATCCTCATATGAAGAGAATCAGGGATGCACAAGATGAGAGTGATGAAGAGGTATTAGACCGTTCCTGTTCCCTGCGCGTTGTGTATTGGACTAGTTGATGTCTTCTCTTTTATCTTTTATTTCTTGCTTTCCTGTGAGGAGACAGCTATCAATGTTTGCTGGAAAAGGTTTGAACATATAGTTTTGACCTCTTTACAGGATGAAGATTTTGTTTTAGACAAGGATGATGGAGGATCTCCAACTGATGACTCTGGGGAAGATCAATCGGATGCTAGTATTAGCGGTGATGAGAAAGAGGTAAGTAGCTGACCAAGACATTGTGTCTGTGCGAGATATATATTAACTTTATTTTTGCTAATTAAATTCTCAAAGTAATATGAAGTATTTGATACAGAAACCTGCTAAGAAAGAAAAGAAAGACTTGGCATCAGTTAAAGCTTCTTCAAGCAAGAAGAAATCTAGAGATAGAGATGAAGACGGATCAAAGAAGAAGAAAACGAAAAGGAAGAAAGATCCAAATGCCCCCAAAAAGGCAAAAACTGGTTTCATTTTCTTCTCTCAAGCTGAGCGGGAGGTAAAGATGGAAGCAGATACAGTCGTTTCGTATTTATATATCCATTGCAGTACCTGAGAAGTATCTTTTAATGTAATTTTGGGTGTATTTTATGCAGAACACAAAGAAAGAAAACCCAGGGATTGCATTCTTAGACATTGGGAAGGTTCTTGGGGAGAAATGGAGGAAGATGTCAGGTATTATGATATAAATAAAGACATTACTATCTGCCTGTAGAGTATCTCAAACAACCCTAAATTGGTTTGTTTTGTTATGCAGCTGAGGAAAAAGAACCTTATGAAGCAAAAGCTCGTGCTGACAAGAAACGGTACAGTGATGAAATTGGTGACTATAAGAATCCACAACCTGCAAATGCAGACTCAGGGAATGAGTCTGACAGCGAGGAGTAGTGTAATGCAAATCCTCCTTTGTATGGAGTAGTGTAATGCAAATCCTTCTTTGTAGCTATCTTGGATGAGAATCAATTATTATTTTACCTTGCACAGTTATGTTTATGTATCAAGGGTAGCATAGCAGTAGGTGGTTACGGAGTATTTGTCGTTATATCAGATGACCAAAACTTTGCTGGGATAAGGAGGTATCACTGTATCAGGGGGTGTATAGTGCATTGTCATCTCATATTCATGGTACTAAACGACCAATCAGCGAATCCTGTTAGGCTGCTAGCTCATTCAGAGTTTTTTTCACATTACTAAAAACTAACGATAAAAGGAGGGAGGGAACAAAAATGAAATGCCGAAAGTTTGTACTGATAGATTTCTCTCTGTTTTTCTTTTTTATAATCAATTAATCATAGCTTTAATTTTATGACACTCGGTGAATGTAATCAATCTTGAAGCTATTTTCCAAAATGATCATATATGCTTGAAAGTGTTTTTCAATATTAATGACCTCCGATTAAACATTTAGATGTTAGAGGAATAATGCTCTAAATGCGAGTATTTGAACTACGAAGTTTATAAAAACTACCAATAACATCTTGTCCAAAAAAAAAACTACTAGGGAGTACTAATAATATATTAATATGGCAGCGTATGAGGTGGTGATACAAGTAAAACAGTAATACATTTGAAAAGAAATTCTAAAATAAATCCCAACTACTACTTCCGTTACATATTATTTGTAACGATTTGACATGATGTAGAGAGCAAAAATGTCTAATTGTTGCAAATAATATGTAACGGAGGTAGTAAATTATACGAGTAAATAAAAATAAAAATCAATAGTATTGGGTGAATTTGTTTAACTATGAATTTGTGCTTTATACTTACACTACGTATCTATTTGTTAAATTTGAGTTGCAAAGGAATATAAGCAAAAGATGATCATACAAGTATTATCTGTCTACATTTAACTATGTTGCTTACATCATCGTTTGACAAACCAAAAAGAGCAAGCATGAACAGCCATAAAACAAAAACAAAAACAAAGCAAACTTGTTTATCGACATCGTTTGCTGTTGGAAAATGTTGAGTGCTCCCTATCTAATATCTATTTCCTTGTCCACCGTACGAACGAGTACCGCACCGTTTCACAATAAGCGGTTCATCTCTTGTTATTGAATTTGTTGTTGCTTCTTTTCTTCATAAGTTAAGATTTATTTTTTTATTTTTATTTTTTTTGACAAGGAGACCTAACAAACAAAAAAACAAAAATAAAAAAGACCACGAAATAGAGTTACGGTGACGAGCTTGTCCTACAAGCCAATGAGCCGGTGAAACCCAAGACCTTGGAACCTTTCGAATATTACATGCATTAAGGCTCTTGACTATGTCGTGAATAGCATCCAGGAGCCAGACATAGGAGATATCCTTCCCACCTGCCCTTGTGAGAATAGAGACAAGCTGAGCGCAATCCGTATAGACTTGCAAACGATCAAATCCCCTACGTTTAGCCATCTTTAAAGCGCACAAGCAAGCCTGTAAGGCTGAAGCAGCTCTAGTAGCCCTCAAACCACCACCCAAAACCAAATCTGAACGAATATCCCGGAAGATCCAACCAATACCAGCTGTATTATCAGAAGCGTTCCAAGCGCCATCGAATAAGAGACAACAGTCGAGAGCATCAGATTCCGAACCTTGAAGCCAACATATCCCCAATGGGAAGGACGGGGTATGAGCCGAATGTCGGATTTCAGAAACGGCTAGAGCCTCCTCCCCTCGAGAAACCCACTCTGCCGCCACGTGTAGGATCAGAGTGGGGGAAACCACTGCATGACGAAACACCTTGTGATTGCGAGAGATCCACACTGCCCACATAAAAGAAACAAAAAAAGCAAGACCATGCCAATTCTTGACTACTCTGAAATTCGTAATTGTGTCTATAAACCAAGGTCCAAAAGATTTATCAAGCAACGAATTACGAGAGAAGCCCAGGGGTCCATGAACCAGTAGATCAGAAACAAGCTCACAATCCCTGAACAAGTGGGAGACAGATTCGCAATTCTGATGACAAAAGACACAAACCGGAGAAACTGGCATCCCTCGTTGATGGAGAATTGTAGTGAGAGGTAACGCATCATGTAGCAGCTTCCAGATGAACTTCTTTAGCTTTGGGAGCATAGAAAGCCCCCAAAATTGCTTCCACCATGAATCAAGAACTGGAACGCTAGCCACCGAAACAATGGATTGACGAACCAGCAAGGCATAAGCAGTCTTAGTGGAAAATTTCCCATCTCTTGTAAATTTCTAGTAGACAAAATCATCCATAATACCAGAAGGTCTTTCCAATGAAAGAATCCTTTGCGCCGACACGGGATCAAACAGGCGATGTATTATGGAAGTATCCCACGCGTTTGTACGCGGATCTATAATAGAAGAAACATGAGTCGGCAGAGACGACTCACACATCGAAGCCTTGAAGGTGACAGGGCCACCCGGCACCCAATCATCCTCCAAAATCCGAACCTTAGACCCATAACCTACTTTCCAAGAAAGACCCGGAGACAAGGCAGACATTCCTTGCATAAGACCACGACATCCCCAAGATGATCTGGGGGAGCCTCCTGCCCGAAAGGAAGTAAGGGAAGGATACTTGGAAAATAGAACTCTTGAAATTAAAAGCTGGGGGTGCTGCTGAATACGCCAACATTGTTTCGCTAACAAAGCGGAGTTTAATCACGAAACCCTTCGAAGGCCTAACCCGCCCATACCCTTGGGAAGATGCAAGAGAGCAGCTGAACGGAAAGCTAAACCTCGAGACGTAGACGAAGACTGCCACCAGAAACGAGCCAGCATACTATCAATTTTGTCACAAATAGAAACTGGCACCTTGAAAACCGACAGAACATGGTTGAAGGAGGCTACCAGATTCGAGTTGATAATTACTAGCTTAGAAGCTGCTGATAATCGCAGTGAGGAGAAATCTGCTAGCCTTTTAGCAACAGAATCCAAAAGGTGACCAAAAGCTTCCACCTTACTCCGTCCCATGTCGACTGGGAGACCTAAATAGGAACCCAAAGAATCTTGACAATGAAGACACATGTTGTTTGCCAAAGAATCACGATAATCCGTAGAAGTATTCGGACTGAACTTAGCAAAGGACTTCTGAAGATTCACCATCTCCCCCGACATATCACAGAAATCCTTTACAACAACATAACCTGATCACAGGAAGCTGGAGAAACATGGAAGAACAGGAGGGAGTCATCTGCAAAGAATAGATGAGAGATCAGAGGAGCACCCGTGGATATCCTAATACCCTGAATAAGAGATAGATCCTCTGCTCGGCGAAGCATTGCAGACAATATCTCCATACATAAAACGAATAAATATGAAGAAAGAGGATCCCCCTGGCGAAGACCGCACTGGGGTCGAAAAGAGGGTGAAGGATCTCCATTGATCAACACCTGATATGAAACAGTTGAGACACACTGATGAATCAAGTGAATCCAATACGGCGGAAAGCGAAAGACCTGTAGAACCTTGATCAGAAAATCCCACCGTATACGATCATAGGCCTTATTCATATCCAGTTTTAAGGCTGCATAGAAACTTTTCCGAGCTTTCAAGCGATTCATATAAGAAAGGACCTCGTGAGCAATCAATCCATTATCAGAGAGGAGCCTTCCTGGAACGAAAGCATTCTGAAAAGGAGAAACCAGATGTGGTAACACAAGACGAAGACGACCAGTGAGGCATTTTGTAATGCATTTATACAGGACATTACACAATCCTATAGGACGAAACTGAGAAACCGACTCCGGACGATCAACCTTTGGAAGCAAAGCCAGGAAAGTTCGATTCCATTCCTTTAGCATATAACCATGAGCGAAAAAGTATCGGATTGCATCAGTAACCAAAGAGCCCACTTTATTCCAATGATGCTTAAAAAAAGCAGAGGAGAAACCATCTGGCCAGGAGATTTATTATCCTCAATTTGAAACATTGCCGTCTGAATTTCTGAGTCGGAAAAAGGACGAAGCAAAAGGTCCTTATGATCTTGAGACAATGTGGGAAGTTGTAATTGATCCCACCAAGAAGACTCTGGAAGAGAACTCGCCGAAGCTGGAGTATAAAGATTCATGTAAAAGGAAGAAATAACTGAACTTATTAGTAACATTCTTATATTGATCTTGTTCACAACTTTTTAAAATTAAACTGAACTTATCAGATGTGAATTAAACTGAACTTGTCATCATTTGTGAAGCAAATCATGTCTTACTTCTTACATACTTGAATAATACCTGTATGTGGAAAACCACCAAAAATTGTGGATGTCAACAATTTTGATTGGTTAAAGTTTGAAAAATGTACCCAAAATTTGAGATAAGAGTACTTTGTATCATTTGCCATTTGTAATTCTTTTACATTAAACCATTTTTACACATACAAGAGTACAAGACAGTATTAGAATTAAGTTGGCCGATAGTAGAAAATTATCATACTTTTTTTTTTTTTTTTTTTTTTTTTTTTTTTGAAGATTATCATACTTTTTTTAACCTATTCTTAATTTTTAATTTCTTTAATTGTTTTTACACGACCTTTTCTTAACTCAAGTACTTTTAATGTCCTTTAGTGGCATGATGAGTCACAAATTTATTTTTCCCTCCCTTCAAAATTGAAAGTAACATATATTGCACTTCCTACTATTAAAAAGAGTTAAATTTTTTTGTCACACTATAAAATATAATATGATCGAAAAAAAAATAGCTTAATTATCCCAGGCAAAGATTTGGATAAATTAATATCCTCATTGATTTGGTCTGATGATAATAATCTTCCTATTATAAAATTCTGCTCCGAATATCCTAGTTGGTTTCAACTCCCAAAATAACATTCTCAATTTCTCACCCTATAATTTACTTGTAATTATTTTATGCACTGTTCATCTAATGTATCCATATAATTAGATAGATACCCACCAAAAATTACACTATTTTCTGGCCACTTTCCCTCAAAATTCCTTGGTATTTATTGATTCAAGGGGAGGTTTATTGTCATCCACAAACCCTTTGAGAATTTCTCGTTCATCAGCTATTTTTCCGGTGTTTTTGTCTCTGATTTATTCAGTTGTTTTTCTTTCAGGTATATCTCCTTTTCTCTATTTTTTTGATTAATTATTTGGTGTTTTTTTTTGAAAGAATTTTAGTTGGTGTTTTTTCTATTGGTTTTTTGTGATTTTATTTTTGTTTGTTTGTTATCTGTTTTTATTTTTGTGGGTTGTAAATTTTTGTTGGGATTTCGTTTTCCTCATGTTTATGGGTTGGAAAAAGGTCATTTTCTGAGTATTTGTTATTAGAAATTTAGCTTTAGTAATTAATTCTGAGTTTGATGTTTTTGTGTTTCAATTTTTATTTTTTTTTTAGGTGAAAGTTTTGATTTTTTGTTAATTTTAGTATAAAAAGGTTGGATTTTTAGTATTTAACCTTGTTTGGTGTTGTATTAAATCATCATGATTTTGATAAGTTTATATTCTTAATTTCCGTCAAATTTTGTCAGGGTAACTGATATTGTGTTTCTGTTCGTCTGATTTTATTGAAATTTGGAAAAAAAAAGTTTAATTTAGGGAGAAAAAATAATGGAATCAAAGAGCAATGAAGGTGCTGAAAGTGTTGTTGAAGTGGCAGAGAATTCTTCTGATAAGCCTGTTGAAGAAGCAAAAGGCGATCAGAAGCGTTCTCTTTCCAATTCGAAGGATTCGGGGAATTTGAGTGCAAAAAAACATGATGTTTAGGGCTGATATGATTGATTTCAAGAATTGGGATATTCATTTGGAAAAACGTTTGAGTAGGGTTTTTTCTCGAGATCAAGATCTCAATGCCACCAAGAAAGAAGAGTGGGAAATCGACTTGGCGAAACTCGATTTGAAGCACAATATTGCCCATGGCACATATGGTTCTGTTTACAAAGCTGTTTATGATGGAAGGGATGTTGCAGGTAATGAAAACTTACTTTTATGTTCTGTTTATCACTTTATCTCATGATCAATTTACTATCTACTATTATTTTGTCAAGTTTAGTTTTGTATGATCATAAGTTTGAGTGTGTGAATGGAAATTGTACACCAGGCATGGCTTGATAGAGTTCAATATCACAGGGAAAGGAGACATCTGATATATTTTTGTACCCCTAAACCGGGGACTAATCCATATGTTGGACTATTGTAAAGTCTACATGGTTTCGATGATCTCTTCGTGTGTGTCTACCATTAATCTGATGACCTTGTCTGTTAACTATTAACTGTTACTACAGATTGATTAAAATTGAAATTGTTTCTTGACCTTATGATGCACTTAATCATTAAGCTTTGATCATTAGTTGAGGTATGCATGTAGCACAAAGTGCCATGTGCTGGGCTTATGGTGTGTTCTGTCAATAGCTGAGGATCATCATCCATATTTGTAATAAAAAATGTTTATGGACTATCTGTCATATGTATAGCATCGGTGATTTGGTATATAGAACTCATGACCCCCCAAATTTGACAAGTTTAAAGATTATGGTAATTTGTATAGTTCTTTGCTGATTATATATATGGTTATCGGGGTTCAGGTGGCAAAAGCTGGATTTGTGATTGTTCATTAAAGTGTTCCTTACTTGCATATGACATAGTTTTGGTTGATAATGAAAGTATTAGATATCTCTTTAATCTATACAATTTCAATTTCTTATGTGGTGACATTTAATTTGTCGGGCATGGCATATTGGTACATACAACTATACAAGTAGTAATTGTCTTAATGCATCTTATTTTGTGCTCACCTGTTCCTTTTATTAACTTTGCTCATATTTCTATGCCAAATTCAATTATCTTCTGTTTGGAGAAACACTATTACGTTATAATTCATGTCAAACTTCAAACTCTTGCTTCCTTAAACGGTTAAATCTTTGAAGTGTTGGATAAAGCTTGATCCTAAAGCAACCATTTGATTATCAATATAGATAAGAAACTTGACTTAAGCAAATTTGTTGGTTAATCTGCCATTTTATTTTATGAAAGAATGAAACTACTTAAATTTTTATGCTATCCTAAAAGTTCGAAATACATCTTAGTAAGCATGTAGAACAAAACTAAAAATCAACTTAGGGCCTGATTTACTGAGCTGAACTAAACTGAATTGTTTATGAGAGAAGGAAATTAGGAACTGAACTGATTGAAACAAGCCCTTAAACCAAACGTTTGCTTAACTGTTTATCAAGTATCTAATTATTTTAACATTTGAATGAAAGCAGCAATGAACTATTGACTATATAAGAATTATATATATACATATCTACATATACTTCTGCTATCCCATATTAAATTAGCTTGAATTCTTATTTAATATGCCTCCGATACTGCTATGTATAACAATACAAATATCTCATAGCTACCATTACTTCTACTTCAATTTTTTTTTTCTTTTTTTTTTGGTGCTACATGTATTAATGGGAGCTTTATGTATTTTTATGGGAGTTAGGATATGAATTCTATATATTATCTTCATTGGTATGTTTGATTGGTTTACTTTTTTTTTTTTTTTTTTTTTTTTGTGGTTATATTATAGTGAAAGTTTTGGATTGGGGGGAAGATGGTATGGCCACAGAGGCTGAAACTGCGGCTCTTCGGTCCTCATTTCGGCAAGAAGTTGCTGTTTGGCATAAACTTGACCATCCCAATGTTACAAAGGTTAAAACTGTTAGAAACTTATGTTATGTCTTTTGATTTTTGTGCTTTTGGTCTGATCACATATTCTCATGTGACTGACATTTTTTTTTCAAATGTAATGACATTTTTTTTCATATCCATATTTTGTTGAATAAATTTGCTAAGGTTTGAACTATCAAATATATTTTGTAGTTCATTGGAGCTTCAATGGGAACTTCAAATCTTTTAATTCCTACCAATAGTGGCAATTTGGGCAACTCTCTTCCTTCTAGGGCATGTTGTGTTATAGTTGAGTATCTTGCCGGAGGAACACTGAAGAATTATTTGATTAGAAATAGGAAGAGAAAACTTGCTATCAAAGTTGTAATTCGACTTGCTTTAGATCTTTCGAGAGGGTAAGGTCCATATAACTTGTACCTTTATTTGTTACTTTATTATAAGAAAGTGATTAGATTGTGTACCTTCTTATATGTGCAGATTAAGT